TAGTACCATCATGCATCATCACCATCTTTATCATCATTAGTACCATCATGCATCATCACCATCTTTATCATCATTAGTACCATCATGCATCATCATCATCACAAAATCATCATCACCATCAGCATCACCTTCATTCCAATCAGCATCATCATCATTATCATCACAACATCATCATCACCATCATCCTCATCATCACCATCATCACCACCATATCGTCATTCCCATCAACATCATCATCATCACCATCACATCATCATTCCCATCAGCATCATCATCATCACAACATCATCCCCACTATCATCGCCCCCTCAAGTTAAATTGTTTCTGGAAAATTAAAACCATCCCATTTCCCCCTTATAGGACTAGTTCGATGTGATCTATTGACCAATGCCACCATCCAGGATCTCTGTCATCAGTATCCATCTCTTTACATTAGTACGTTATTGACTGAGATGGACCGTTTGACCAAAAAGGCTGAAATTTCCGAAAACACCTCCAATTGATGGAGTACCCAGCTCATCAAACTACTGTACAGAAGATTACAAGTATAGAACTTCACTAGAGTGCAAACAATTAATCCGTGAAACACTAATTACTAAATAGTACAAAATAGTGCTAATTAAACGTTAGAGAACAATGGTGTTTGAATGAAATTGTGCTACGCGGCATCCCCAGACAAAAATCGCGACGTGCACTTTGCAATAGACTGCCGTCAATCAAACAAGTTGACGTCATTTACACGCGTTTGGATCGGCCCGGATAGGCCCGGTGAGTGTGGCTCATAATACTTGTAAACAATCGACAAGTTTTGGCGCCTTTTGAATCACGCACGCGTGTAAATGGCGTCAACGTCTTTGATTGACGGCAGTCTATTGCAAAGTGCACGTCGCGATTTTTGTTTGGGGTGGCCGCGTAGCAATGCAAATGGTGGTAATGTTACTAAAGTTTCACGGTTATATYGTTTGCACTCTAAAACTTAGAACTATTTAATTTTTTTTTAAGCTGCAGCTAATAAAACCTGRCAGTTTTTAACTTCTACAGTACTTTAACCATGGTGTGTGCTAGCTTATAATAAATACCCTATAATTTTATTGAGAGTTTTCTCTTTTCTTTCTTTCTTCTTTTCCTTTATTTTCCTTCCCTATCGTGGAGGCCAAGTTCTTCCTTCCCTGCTATAGGCAGAGTCTCTCCTCTTTCTCTACCCCCAAAGGAAGCATGGGTGGCGTAGCGGTGAGCACCTCTCACCAGTGCGACCCCGGGTTCGAGTCCCGACGAGCTCAGTGTTGTACATTAATTGAGTTCCTTGTTGGTTCTCTCCTGTGCTTCGAAGAATCAATTATACTAAATTCTAATTCGATCCTAGGAGATATTGACGATAGGTCTAACCTCACTAGAGAGTTTTAGATTTACGTTCACGGCAAACGTGAAACGTCAGTTGACCAGTAAAAAATTCTTTTAAATGACTGAAAAAGAATCGCAAAAAAGTCCAAGTAGTAGAAAAACAAAAGAGTATTTGCGCTTGGTGAGAAGGTTTGTAAAAGGTAAAAGTAAAATACACGAAAACTATGAAAACGTGGTCACGTTTGCTGTTTGCGGGGAGAAAAAAAAAGTCAATCTTAAACTCTCTAATATCTCTTCTCGTTCTCAGGCACTGATGCGAATAAATTAGTGTGTTTTTGGTCTTTTAGGCGGGAAGGAGCCAACTCTGCCGATGTAGAGCGGTTTTGCTTTGATACACCGCCGTCCACAATCGTGGACGAACGAAACCAGTTTTAAAACCGGTTTATAGTACATGTAGTGCGCATGAGCATATGTAACAATCTCTTACCCAAAGCCTGMGTTTCTTCTGGGCTGCGGCGAAGAACGAGGGCTCTGGCATAATCCATTTTTTGAGACCAGGCTTGGACTTTCGGTATAACAGCGCTGTTTCCGATGTCTAATTTTTATTTTGATCGGAAGTAAACACAAAACTCTATTTGAAAGCATGATTTTCATTGATTATATATTTAAATATAATAAAACTTCCGGAAATTGCTCATACGCCAAAAAATGGATTATGCCTAAGGAAATGCAGGCTGGGTATGAGATTGGTCTTACAATCTTTCTCACTCCACCAAAGCAAAAGAAAGATAGGCTCTGCAGGGAAAGTTCTCCCCTCCCCTCCAGTTTGGCAAGTATAAAACTTTCTTCTTTGTTCAAAATATCCCCAAAAGACAGGAAATATCATTTCTACAAACCATGTTAATTTTAAAAGGTTAAATCTAAATAAACAAATTAAATAAACAAACCATAATTGTTTTACTCGATGAGGTCTGTGACCCTTGTTCCGTTAATGAATTGGATTTTAGAAGTAGATTTTTGTGGAAGGAGGAAGCCGCAGGACCTGTAGAATAACCAATGATCTCGAAGCACACAAAAAACAACACTACTCTCAAATATGACCAAGTGTGTTTATCAGCATAAGGGAAGAAGGGAGATTGCACCCGGACTGGGAATCAAAAACATTAGAGAGTTTTAGATTGACTTTTTTCTCCCCGCAAACGGCAAACGTGACCACGTTTTCGTAGTTTTCCTGTATTTTACTTTACTATTTACAAACCTTCTCACCAAGCGCAAATACTCTTTTGTTTTTCTACTACTTGGACTTTTTTGCGACTCTTTTTCAGTCATTTAAAAGAATTTTTTACTGGTGAACTGACGTTTCACGTTTGCCGTGAACGTAAATCTAAAACTCTCTATTAACATCGTGTTTACCGCTTACCTGTGACCGCTAAGAATCAGGCCCCGAAAAACGCCCGCAAACACGGAGAAACACTCGGCATCCATGAAATTTAATATGGCCACTCTTCCATTGATAACTTCGTTATGACGCCGAGATAAATGTCGAAAGTTTGAAGAAGAAAAAAACGCCCGACGTCGAAATGTAGTTTGAGGTTTGCGGGGCTATCCGTAATGATTTAATAATGATTTATGATTTATATAGCGCCCTTTCTATATGGATATAATCAAATWTACATTGAGCTATGAATGACAGAATYGCTTTTATGCAATTTACARGCATGARAGATGGTTAGTATGAAGTGTAGGCACTGAGGGTGGTCACTGCCAGGGTTTCTTTACGTCCTCAGTGGTTCTTTTACGTCCCTCCGATATTGGTTAGTAATGACGAGTGTGGAGAGACGGGACCGCCATTTAAAGTGGTCATCAGAGCCACTTGAAAGTCTAACCATTTGCAKGTGTAATGACAAAGGCAGCACTTTYTCCTCAGTCATTTTAAGACCCTGAGTGTTGGTCCGGCCRGGACTCGAACCACGACCTCCCGCACGAAAATCCGATGAAATTCAATATGGCCAATCATCCAAACAACAAMTTTGTTATGACGCCTAGATAAATGTCGAACGTTTGAAGGTAAACGCCTGACGTCGAACTGCATTTTGAGGTTTGCGGGACTAGCAAGAGCGTCTTACTAAAGACCTCTATTGTCGAGAGGCCATCACTACTTTGTGAGCGAGGCGTTCCTCTAGCTTGTTTCATATTTCATAGTCTACCRCCACATCCTCAAGGGTCCCCCTTTTTCCGATTCCTTGATCCACAATCCTTTTCTTGTTTTTCGTCATCAATTTTTTGAAAGAACGAGAACTCCGTCAATTTCAAGTATGCCTTTTTATTATACAGTTTCAAACTAACTCAATTATATCCACATCGTTGAATTTATTAACTTCAATTAATTTAGAGTACAAACACCATAAGTGTGTAACATAAATACCACTAAATAGTGCTAAATTATGCTAATCCTAGTGTTGTCTATTGTTTAATTAGCACTATTTACTACTAAATAGTGCAAAGTGTTGCGCACTTTTAGTGTTTGTACTCTAAGTGAAGGGTTTTTGTTTAATATGCAAAATTAGTAACACAAAATGACACCTTTTTAGTCTGTATTATTCTAAAGATATTATTATTA